CCGCAGTCGGCGCACGCGGAGTTGCCCGGCTTCAGCAGGACCTCTCTCAGGGCGCGAGCCGCCCTCTCGTTCGCCACGGCCATGCTGTCTCGCGCTGGCAACAACCCCCCCCCCCCACCCCCTCTCCCCACGCTCCTCCTCCTCCCGCGCCGGCGAAGACGGTCGATTGGTATTTTTTCGGGATCAAATCCTGCTTCCAGGTGCGGCTCCGGTGCCCCTTCTTCCTTTCTGACCCCTTAAAATTCCCCCCTTCAAAAAAAAAAAAAGCGAACAAAGGAAAGAAAAAACTTGTCTCGACAAGTCCCAACAGAGACAGGTATTCGCCCGGTGTCCTTTCCCAGTACCAAGACCCGAGCTACACAGAGTTACACAGAGAGATATGATTCGGCGGCTCAAGCCTTCGTCCTGCACAGCCCCGAGACAGAAGGAAACGCCACTCCCCCCTTTATCTCGAGCACAGTTCTGTCCCGAAAGAGGAGCCACAAACCCGCCCGTCTACCGCCGCATTCCTGCCGCGCCTGCCTGCCTTTCCATCAGGGCGTGTGCGGAGAGAAAGGTGCGCTCGGAAGTTCCGCCGGGAGACTGTCTGAACTTGCTTTTCCGCATATTTCCGATAACATGGGCATTAACTCTCAGGCGACCCCGCCAACCCTCCGGGGCCTGCGCCTCCACACCGCCACCTGCCGGCGAAAAGTGATGATGATGATGATGATGAGGATGATAATTATAATAATGATAATAATAATAATGCATCTGACTGACGTGTGCATTTAAACAAAGACTCACAAACACCCCCGACAAAGAATACAGAAGAAGACAGAGTTCTTCGAAGTAAAGTGAGAGAGTTATTCATTGCAAACTGCCATTACAAACCGAACTTTTTCACCGAGGCTGGGGACGGGGGACGACGGACAAGACCCTTGGGCAGTTCTAAATCTCACACTTTCCCGACGTCACGTCCGGAAAGCGTAACCCGTACATACAGGTAGTTCAGGTGGGGAGCTGCGTCAGCGTGCGTAGGCTGCAAAGGAACAAGTAAGAGGTTTATTCCCTGCTGAAAAAAAAGAAGAGGAAAAAACGCAACGTTTCGGCCGTGGAGCCTTCTTCAGGTGTGTGTGTGCTGTACAAACATGCTGGGGGGGTATATATGCTTTGCTTTGGTCTGGCGCCTCTCCCCTCCGCCTTCACGCTGAGGTGTGGGGGGACAGGCCAAGCGCGTTAAGACAAGTTTCCCTTCGCTCCATCACTCCGCAAGCATCCTCAGATGCGCCCAACTCTCTTGTCGTTATTCCTTCTAAATAAAAATAAAATCAAAGTGGTCGCGGTAAAGCAATACAGGGGATCGACTTGATTCGAACGTCAATAACAGCACAGCTACCAGTCATCGTCATCTTGAAACGTCTAAAATAAATCTTATTTCCACGATCGCCAGAAGCCCTGTC